GACTATAATTACAACTCTTATTTATTAATTAGATGTGGATAACTGCTGTCCTCCTCACGCTGCTGCACACTTGTTCTTAAAACGCCGTTCAGTCCTCACACGTCATCACAAATTTCGGGCTGAATGTGAAAATCCACAGAGGGGACCTCATGGACTTGGATGAAAGACAAAATTTAAATGACTCCATATCACGACAGACCCAAGGACATGCAAAACATGAATTGGCCTGAACAGTCTAAGGCCATGATAATCCTCAGTTATATTCCCTCATGGACGCACGCACAAACAACTGTGGGCAGCTGTGAACACTGTGGACTCTGTTCCACATGTGAAGACCACTGTCAAGTCACCACGCAGATACAAACTCTGGGCTGCATAGAGTCTTGCAAACTTAGGAGGATGACGAAATTTACACCCTGGCAGACGTTGGCACATTTGTGGACGTGTAAAGTACAACGCTGCTCCGAAGACTCTGGGAAGCTGAACCTAGACACACACCAGACGTACTTAATGCAACTCAAATCAAAAGATCAGCAAATCCGGGCATCGTCATCTGGGTGCCATGAATGCTTGGAAAGTTGTTTTTCAGTCCGACCTAACGCCGAAGAATTCTTCCACGCAGGAGGAAATCCGTTTTGCTTGTGTGTGGCCCGATGCTGTTGGACCGCTCGTTGTAGCCGCTGCGTATAGGCTCCACATGGAGGGTCCAGTCAGCCACACACGGTTTAAAACGCTCTGAAAGTTTGGTCATAACAGGAGGAAAACCACAGCCTTCATTCAACAAACTATGCGTGAATAGCAGGTTATATGATAAATTGTTATATTGTACTGATATGTGAATGGAGACTAATAATTTGTCCATTGTTTAAAGCTCTACCGCACTTCCCTCTGCAAAACCGAAAACCCCATGCCCGTAAAGGAATGATAATAATAATTAGTAAAAAGGCAGCAGTTAGATAATCTGATTTCCTCCAGCTGAAAAAACAAAAGCTGCTGCATGTTCTCAGTCAACACCTGCTATCCTGAAACCGAGGCCCTCTGACGGTGTGTGAGTTTAACAGCAAGGGCACACGGAGGGCAAAGCACCTGCATGGTGACCGTCATACTGCTCCACACACACACACACACACACACACACACACACACACGCCGTCTCCCGCCAAAACTTTTTTCAGGCTTTACATGTTTTCATTCCTCCCCGTGTTTCATGTGGG